GAAATTGACAGCTAAAGTAGTCAGGATCAAGCCAGAGGTAGAAAGTTATTGCCAGGGAGGAAATGGTAAACTGTTAGGGATCTTTCCTCCAAATCACTAGGTTACAAGATCTCCACCCAAAGAAAAGAAAAGGGTTGTAACTGATGGACTCACAGTTCAAAGAGACTTGCATGGGTGGAAGGAAGATTAGACACGGTCAGCCTTGCTCCAAAGGTAAAGCCAGGGACAATAGGCAGAGTTACAGTGTCTGTAACTAAGTAAGGTTACGAGTGGCCTGCCTGCCATTCAAGAGGTGTCAGCCACCTGTGGACAACCACCTGCCAGGAGAGTAAAGTACTGCAGGGGAAACATTGCAAGCAGGTGACTTAATGTATCTCCAACTCTGCCAGCTTTGCTTCTGAGAATCAGAAAATGTTTGTGCTGACTTCCTCGCATTTTCTAGGGAGCTTCTGCCCTATTGTCACCTTTTAACCTTCCCTGAATCAGCAGGTTCAAAAAAAATCAAAAGCCGTGAACACACCATCGAGTCTCATAAAGGCAAACAAGGAAAGAGACATCAAAGACTTCTCATTCGAAATGCATGGATGCAGACCTCTTTCCTCTATGGCGCACCATCTCCTTTTTCCTTTCTGCGATCTCTCCTGCTCTTTTCTCTGGTCTACTAATTTCTCCCATAGCCCATTCCTGCCTTTCTCTGATTCCTTGATTCCCTGTCCTTCAATCTTTAGTTGCTCTCTTTTCCCCTTTCCTCTCATGGTTGTACACTGGGCTGCTAACTGCAAGGTCAGCAGTTCGAAACCAGCTGCTCTTTGGGAGACAGACAAAGCTTTCTACTCCCATAAAGAGCTAGTCGGGGACATTCACAGGGGCAGTTCGACCTAGTCCTACAGGATTGCCATGAGTCAGAATTGACTTCATGGCATTGCTTTGGGTTTTTGTTTGTTTCTTTCTTCTCGATACCTTTCATCTAGGTCTATTCCCTTCGGAGGCAGTGTTTCCATCCTTCTAGCCCTCCCAGCCTACCTCCCCCGCCAAGAATTCCTCACTCCTCATTCTGTAGCACATCAAAACAGCAGCTGTGGCATCTTTAGAGGCTTAAGTTACACGCCCTTGAAGTAGTCTTTGTATTGGGGGAAGAAAAAGAGGCCTGAAGGGCAAGAACAGGGCTGCCGGGTGTCTGGAGAAAGGTTTCCCAACAAAAGTCTGCAGGACAGCCCTGCTACACTTGAAGAACGAGCAGGTGCCTTCTTGTGATGGAAACAAATCACCTTCACAAAGCGTTCCTGGCCTTTTACTCACGGATGCAGTTTTCCATTCTCTTAGAGCTTCTTCACTGCACAAGTCTTCTTAATATTATTGGGCAACTGAAATTGTATGATATGCGAACTATATGTCTATCGAACTATCTTTTAAAACTTCTTCATAAAAAGCCCTCGTGATGGTCCTATATCCATTGAGAAAATCTATCATGATTACCCGTGTGGAATTCTCCCAAACATCATCATCGCCTCTGAGCTGATTTATCTTCCTTGAATCCAGTGGGCCCAATGCCCCCCCGCAGAAGCCCTTTGATAGGACGTTTGTTTTGAAGGTATCCTAACCAGACTAGACAAGTGTGTTACTGAGAGAACATTCCAGCAGCCATCCTCTGATCATAACGACAGGTTTCAACACATCTGGTTGGAAGAAACCTGTGCGTGTGCTAACCGAAATGCTCGTACTAGTACTTCTTTACTGACACCCATCTGTTTGAAACATCCGAGATGATCTTAAACAAGCAAAGAGGCGATGTGGGCTCTGGGCCATACCTTGCAGGCATCTCAAAACGTAGGAGGTCATGCACAATGGCGAGCATGTATTTGTTCATTTCCTTGGGAAGCTCGCCGATAGAAAGAATGAGGTTTTTCACTTCTATGTAGGATGGGTTACTATTCAAAATGATAGCAGCTGCCGTGGTACGGACCGTTTTTTCATGAACTCGATGGTTCTGGTGGTATATCCTGTTCAAAGTCTTCTTCACCTGTGGAGTCAGAGGAAGTTCAAGCTCAGTCAGAATGAGCATACATTTCCAAATGTAGGGCTGCTGTTGTGGCAGAAATCAAGAGCGCTCATAAACCATGCATGTATGCTTACACTTCCCAGGTTCATTTGCAAGTGTGCTGCTCTGGAAGGACTAGTTTTGCTTAGTGGGCTGTGAAGAGGACTGAGGCAGTTAAAGAGTTGACATGCCTTCTCCACATCTGTCTCTCAATCCTGTGAGGAACGTAGTACCACATAGTCACTATCTGCTTTGGCTGAAGCATGAATGAGAAATAGAGGTTTGTTATGAGGAGTTGATACCAAGGGCTCAAGTAGAAAGGAAATGTTTTGAGAATGATGGTGGCAACAAATATACAAATGTGCTTGGCACATGGATGTGTGTATGGATTGTGATAAGAGTTGTCCGATCCCCCAGTAAAATAATTTTTAAAAGAAAGATTTGTTAAGCAGTTAAGATACTGAGGTTTACTGGTTACTTACTGCTGCATACACTGGTGTTACCTGGCTTATACTGGTAAGAATTCAATTGCCAATGGGCAATGGGCTCTGGTGACGTGCCTCCAGGTCTCCTTTTTCTTTTGTTTTAACAGAAGAGAAACACTCCCCGCCCCCACCAAATCCATAGTAGTTGCATTCTGTGGCAACAAGTGCTTTCATGGTTAACAGCATTACCTGTGAAAATCGTGTGTGGAGTTCTGTATTAGGCATTTATAAATATTCCTTTCTATTCCAGTTTCCTTTATCTTTGACTAGTTCCCTCAAATCGTGGACTTGCTCTCGGGTAAAAAGTAGTTAAGTAGCTCACCCAAGGTCAAACAACCAGGATGGGGCCGAACCTGACTGCTTATCCAGGTGTGTCTGTTTCTAAAACCTGTTGCATCCTAACTTCCCAGCTTACAGATGTCGACACCCACCACTCAACTCTCAGGTTGTCATATTCTGGTGGCTTTTTTTGTCCCCATGGTGCTAGACATTATCCCACCAGCGTATCAGATCCCAGCAGTGTCACCCACAGTGGGCATATTTCAAAAGAGCTTCTGGATTAAGAGACTAGAAAGAAGCAACGCCCACTGAGAACCTTCTGACCAGTAGCATTCCGGCAGGAAGGTACGCACAAGGTGACTGGGGAAGAGCTACCGTCTAAACATAGTCAACCTTCGGGACAGCAACAGGGCCTGACAAAGTCAACAGCCAGGGAAGAAAGAGGAAGAACCTCAATGAATGGGGTTGACACAGTGGCTGCAACAATGGGCTCAACCCCAGGACAGTTTGTTTGTGAGCTGGCCCAGGCCCGGGCAGTGTTTTGCTCTGTTGTACACAGGGTCACAGTGAGTCAGAACCAACTTGAGGTACCCAACAACAAAAACAACTTTGACACAACTGATGAGAAGGAGTTTCACTCCACACTGGAAGCATCATTCTCAACATGCGGTTGATCTTGAGGTTTATAAATATCCTGTGTCCAAAAAAAAAAAAAAAAGTTTCATTTAGAGGCCTTCCTGAAAATGCAGTTGGAGGAGCAAGCTGGGCAATACTTAGGCCTGAATGTGTCAGTGTTGGAATATTCAGCAGCATTTTAAAACACAGATCTAAAGGCATTCCTGACAAGAATTTGTTGCTTAACATAAGAATGTGTTCCAGTATTGATGCTTCAGGATACAGGACATGATCTAGCTGAAAGCTACTTCAGAACATCCAGTTTGAAAGTTAGGGTATTTCTACACAGCAAAGAGAGATTGTCCCTTGGAAGAAACAAGGTGACTTGAGAGGAATTGTGTTTTGTGCCTGGTAATTTTTTGGTGGCATAAACAGTTAAGGGTTTGACAACTGGCCACAAAGCTGTCAACTCAAACCCACTCAGAGGCACCTTGAAAGAAAATAGATGATGGTCTGCATCCACGAGGTCACAACCTGGAAAATTCTACAGTGTTGTTCTCGCCTGACACACACCAGGTCACCATGAGTCAGCAGCTGCTGAACACAATCAAGCGCCACACAAACAGCAAGGCTACAAATCCTCTGAGGGGCTTTACCTCCTCCGTGATGAAAGGGACGTCATATCTCTGGAGCGTGGTGGTAGCCAGGTGGCTGACTGGTCCCTCGCCAGCCTCAGCATACTTCAGAAGCATGGGGATGCCTTCGGGAAGCAGTGCATTCTTCAGAGCCAGCAGGTACATCGTGGTGTCCTCTTTTTTCTCCGGCCTTTCGAGTCCTCCCAGAATCAGCTTCTTGGCTTCCACCACTGCCTTAAGAAATCAGATCATCACTACCTCAGACATATGCATGTGCTTCGGGGAACAATTAGCTTCACTCTGAAGGCCAAGTAAACAACCTGAAGTTTTAGAAAGTGTTGCGAAACTGAAGCACACACTGAACACTAGCAAGCCAAGCTCGAGAAAGGTGTTGTGCTTTTCAAAATATACGTTCTTTGTGTTCTGGTGGTCACGTCCTTCCTAAACCATTTTCTTCTAGGGAGGCTCAAAGGACATTCACTTGTTTACTGAGATTGTTGACCCTGCTCCATAGTGTCAACCGAGTGGAAAAAGTCATTCATTCCTTCATCCTTCACGCTCCACGGCTAGTGAATTCCAAAGGAGGCAAACCTGGCCCCATGGCTCCCTTCCCCTTTCTCAACCCCATCCCTCCCTCCTTTGCTTTCTCTGCCCCTAAAGCTGCCCTTTGAATGAAGACTCGGCATACTGCAAGTCTAGAACAGTGGGATTTCCACCTCCCATTAGGATCCAGTAAGTGAATGACTTTGCTGTGGAAGATGTTGATTCAATACCGTTTGGTATAGCAAGAAGGTATTCATTTGGAACATACCAGAGGCTCCACAAGATCTGCTCTTTACCCCAATTTTCCCTGGGGTGTTTTTGGCAGGGAGTCCTTAAAAGATATCCACCTGACTTGATATTTGTCATCTGGAATTTTGTTATTGCTCAACAACCTGAACATTCTCCATCTTTCCAGAGGGACTTTTTTTTAGCCCAGCAACATATCAGTGCCCTCTGCATGAGGTTTGGGTTTGAGAAGAGAGACTGTTTTCGGATGGCTCACTGTGAGGGAATGAAATGTGCAAGTCTCCTGAGACACAGGAGAAACACACTGGGAAAGTGGAGCCAGGGGGCAGAGCCACAAGCATGTGTTCGTGTTGAGTCAGAGAACTGTTTGGGTTCTGGTGGAAAGGAGTCGGCAGACAGGGGATGAAACTAGTGAAGGTCAAAGGGAAGCAAATGCTAAGTCTCCCCCAGGCAGTGAGTTTTCTGTCATTCACAATACACCCAGATGACAGAGTAGACCTGCTTCCAACAATTTGTCAAACACTAGTAAGCACAAAAGAGAGTGGTGTTTGTCTGGGCTAGGTTGGGCAAAGCTAGCTGCATAGCAGTATGGACAGGAGAAAGACTGCCTACATATGTTCAACAGCTTTAATCTACTTGCACTATAGAAAGATGGGCTGTGTTAGCAATGAATCCATTTTGACGTTCCGCATTTAGTTATGCTTACCAAGAAAGCAGTTGTGCTTTTCTTTGTAAATTAGAAAGATGTGAACATTCATGATTGATTTAGGCAAGCAGAAAGTCTTTCAGCCAACAACTAAATATAATGTGAATTTATAAGTAGATAAAGGTAACTAAATGTCCCCCATCAAAACTGAAAACCACACTTAATATAGAGAGTTTGACTTTTTTCTGAGAACAAAAACTACACTATTAATACTATTCAAGGTTGAATGCCTAGTAGATTCTCCATACAAATATACTGATACATGCACTGATGACTATTCACTTCATAGCAAGCACTTCCTCACCATGCCCTATGTGCCAGATACTGTTTTAAGCAACTGGTGTTGAATAAAACAAAACTCTTGTTTCTGCATGGAATTTGCATTCTAGTAGGGATAGAGGGATGGAAATAAATGAAGAAGATAATAAGTTACATATCAAATGTCTTAGATGAATTACTATAGGAAACTGGAGAAGGATAGCAGGATAGGGGCTTCCTGAGGGCCGGCTAATGGCACCATGGCAAGTATGAAGCTGAACGGTCCACGGGATGTAGTATATGAGCTTGGAGTCTCACTTACTTTGAGTTTACAGCCGTCATTCTGGCACAGCTTCCTGACCAGCGCCCCAATGATGATCATCACAGTCTCTCTGATGTCACTGCTCCCAAAGGAACCTTTGAATGTAGTCTAGCCGTCAAACAAGGACAGAGGAAGGTTACCGAAATGTGTCAGCGTTTCCAAGATACACGTTCAGTTGAGCACCCACGACCAGAGGAAAGTGATTTCACCTTTCTACATGTCACATTCAGAATGTTCTTTGGGTTTCTTATAAATCCACCACCTATCCTGAAAGGGAAGACGTCGTAGACTCACTCGCTCCTTGCCGAGCAGTCTCAGCCTCAGCTTTATGAACCGATGAGAGGCATATGGATCAGATTTGTTGTCAGTGTATCTATAAAATTGAGTGTCTGGGTGATAAGCTACTTCATTACTTTTACACAGCACTAAAGTGAGCCCGCTTCTCGAGAAGGTTATAAACAATCCCAACTATAATAACATGAAATTCAATCTTTATAAACAATCTTGATATCCCAAAAAATTTTTTTTAATCTTGGAAGAGCTTTTTCTGTTCAATATACTGCATATTAAATATGGTAAAATGTTTGAAGTCAAAGCAAGTCTGTTAAAGTAGACTACTGAAACATAATGAGGACTGTTCCTCTCTGACATTTTTCATAACTATGTCACAGGTGAACATAATCTTTAAATTTCTATAATGCATAGTTTGCTATTTAGAGGAATTGTAAGTGATATCACTTACTGTACAGTTAATTAATGGGTAGAACCAAAGAGGAGCAATCAGAAGGCAACCTTCATTCTCACCAGAACCAAACCAAACCCATAGCCTTCTAGTTAATTTCAACTCACAGGTACCCTATAGATCAGAGTTGAACTGCTCCTCGGGGTTCCGAAGATTGTCACTCTTACTGGAGGAGGCAACCTCACCTTTCTCCCCTGGAGCATCCGGTGGGTTTGAATTGCCAGCCTGGGGGTTAGCAGCCCAGTACTACAGCTACTGAGCTATCATGGCTCCTCTCATTCTCACCAGAACAACTTTGACTTACTCCTTAGATGTTTAAACTTTTTAGCCAGTGTCACTTTTCCGGGGTTGTTTGACTTACAATGAGGGCTTTCAGCAGCGCTTCGTTGGGGTGGGAGGCAAACCCACAAGCATAGAGAAACCTCTCCTGGAGGATGATGCTACTGCTGCTTTTGAAATCCAAAAAGTTCAAAATGGCTTCTAATGAGTCTGGAGTCTGGGCAGAGGTGACAGCATCCACCAGCTGAGGTCTGCAAGACAGGGACAGTCAGGGGAATCAATGTTTAAGATGGCTAAGGAACTATTTAAAATCTTTACCATTTGCAGAGTCTGTTAATTTTATTTCCCCAAAGAAGTCAACTTTTTTATTAGGGGAAAAATAGCAATGAAAAAGATCTCCTTAAAAAGATGCCTCTCATTATCAGAACAAAAAATCTTACCATAGTGAATGATGGGGGGAGTGCGGAGTGGAGATCCAAAGCCCATTAGTAGGCC